ATTTTTCCAGGTAAAGATCATTATGACCGTGTTTTTTAAATCTGAGGGTTGCAAAATTAACCTGATGGGTCATCACAAGCACTAAAATAAGATGGAATGGAAAGTACTAGTCTTTTATATGTAGCAAAATTCAGTTTTATTTCTTGATGAATTGTATTCAATTATATATTTATATGTACTAACTTGTGATATAAAATGCACGTCTTGCTGTTGTCATGGTGGTTTTTTGGTGTAAAGCAATTCTCTAGGGCACGTAACTCTGAGACCTCGATGCACCTGGAAACCATGCAGTGGAGAGGACTCAAGGTTTCTTCTTCAGGAAGAGAATCTCGGGCTCACCCTCATGGGACCCATCTTTGTTGTAAGGCCACTGACTTTCTACAGGGTGGCCACTGAGGCTGGTATCTGAGGGGAATACAGAATCAATGGATAATTCCTATTTGTCGAGTAAGGCAATCTGCAGTAGACCCTGAACATCCCTGCACGTCTCTGCTGAGTGTGCCAAATGGCAAGGCGCCACCATCCTCCAGCCCTGAGCCATTCCTGCAACCAGCCCAGGAGATGATTCTGAGAAGGAGATCAGGATCCCACAGGGTGACTACTGTACAATGACTTGCTTCCTGGGAAGGGGCTGGCTTGTTCAGTGCTTGCTGTAAAGGCTGCCAAGTACCCTGCCCTGAGCTCCTGGGCTGTGGCACTATCCACTGTGTGCACAGCCACCTTCTGGGCCCGTCAGGTCAAACTGCAGCATTCAGGTAGGGGGCAACTTGTACCGTGCTGCGTTCCCACTGCTTGCTGGCCTGTGAGTAAAAAACTCCCGTGCTCTGATGCACTGAATTTCACTGGGTACTCTGAGCACAGAGAGTTGCGGCAAACCCATCCAAATTCCTGGCTTGCTTAGCCATCAACTTTGGAATCTTGTTACTCCTGGCCATTTTCTATGAATGATGTCAGGATTCAAACTCACAAGCGTCTGATTCCAGTATCTGCATTCTTTTCAGGACACCTCATTGTTACATTATCAAGGAAAGTATTATTTCCTCTGCGCCTCAGCAGCCGTCAAGATAAAAACCACAGAGTGTAAGCCAAACTACTTCCCTCTTCCGGGCTAAGTTAGGCTTGCAGTTTCTCTTGGCATAACATGTGCTCCTGCTGCCACCTACCGGCAGCCTCACACATCCTGCTATTTCTTCGTAAACTCAATCTTGGCGAAGGAGAAGCCATCTGGCTCTTTAAAAACCTTCCAAACAAACAAACAAACAACAAGCTCAATGCAGACAACTAGCTGGTAAACCTTCCCCAAAAGTTGGTAGAGCTATAAGGGAAAAGTAATTCCCATATACCTCCCCTAAGGACAAATCTTTTCTCCTTCCAAGCTGCTCTCAATTTCATCAGATTTCACCTGCCTCCACGTATTGAAAGAGAGGACAGATTCGGTTATCCACACCATCTAAATTTGAATGGTGGTGTCCTGCAAAACTGGGGAATTCCCTGGCCCTAGCACTTAACACTGACCACCGCATCGCCAACAAAGCAGTGGGTAACAGTGCCTTGACCAAGAAGAGTCTAAGTGGCTGGCAAAGCTTGGTTTGTTTTCCTCAGAGAGGGTGGGGCCCAGGGCAATCAGGCACATCGTGAACCTTAATTCTGGGCAGCTAGGAGCACCGGGGGAATCCATTCCCTTTTCCAAGGACATCCAACCATAACACTTCTCCCTGCCTCCCAACACCCACCCTACAGGATATCATGACTTATCATCTAGGGTGGGTGGTTGGATTTTTGTTTTTCTTTGTTTCCCTTTCCTTGACAAAATGGGGAACAACCCTTCCCGGGGGTGGGGGAGTTTATTTCTGACTATTGGGAAGAAAGAAAGGAGGAATTGTTGTCACGACAATTAGGAGCTCATCAAAGCTTCATTTTGCTCATCAGCCATCACTGCCCTCCGTCCTGCACCCCCGCATGTTCCTCTAGTTCAATGCCCGCCTAATGAATAACTCCTAGGAACAAAAGACCCTTTCAGGCTGGCACACGTAATTATTAGAGGAACCTTGCATAACTGTCACAGACTACTCATGTTTTCAGGCCTGTCTCTAAATTTGGTTATTCACAACCTTTATAGCTCAATATTATTGCCTAACTGTGATCATTTTCTAATTATCCTAATAATACCTATTAAATAATTCCCATTAAATCACTTGAACCAGAGCGGTACAAGCCAGCTCAAATACAACTTAACCTAATAAGCATTGGTCATTCATTAAGCACCAGGGCAATCTTTTAAAGGGGCTGAATAGAATATTAAACTGCAAAGGGATATTGTTATTGCACAAATGTTATTACAAATTGGAGTGTATTAATTTCGAAGCCTGGTTTGCACATCTTCCATTTGGTTTCCTTCGGGGCCGCTCCCCTTGACTCGACTCTTCCAGGCTCCAGCCCCACGTTGATCTGCATCTGTCACCCACACAAGGATAATCAAGGGAGAGAAAGGCCCATGAACAGAACAGGGGAATTAAATTACTAAGGATGTAAAGGGAATGAAGGGAATCCATCTTCTGGCTGGGTTGACACACCTTTGAAACAGAAGCTGGCTTTCTTCAGCTGATAATTCAAAATAGCCTTTCTGTACACTTGGGGGAGAGGGAGATTTTCAGAAGCTTGAGAAATGTGGTGCCTAGAATTTAAATTTCAAGCGGCAAAGATGAGTAAGTCAATTCTTTCACGGGGCATGAGTGTGATATTTAAAAGTACTTTGTACAAATGATATCAGGTGCCTCTTGGGAGGCACTCTGCCCACCAATGCCCTTAATTCTCAAAATGACCTGGTAATGGTAAGGATTATTAGCTCCATTTCTCACATAGGAATCTGCAGCCCGAGAGGTTAAGCGATTCTCCCAGGGTCACGCAGCCTAAATGCAACGGAGCAGAATTTGCACACGGGGCTCTTGGATGCCTTTCCCCACCAGGCCACCCTGCCTCCCCAGCAAACTGAAATGTGCCCCAGCTTTGCTGGCTTATCCTTTCCATTTCTAAGGCTCTCGCTGAAACCTGTGGACTCCCAAAGACCAGTGCAGAGCCTTCTTGATGGGGAATCTGGCCGTATGGACAACAAGGGCAGTTCATTGTACTGAACGTCCCAGCAACGGCTGTAGAGACAGGCAGGGACTCTCACTCCAGGCAAGAAACAGTTACTATTTTTGTCATGAAGTCTACTCCTGATAGGTGGATTTGGGTTATCTTTGCAAGGAAATGCACAGTGTATTTTAGTAAGGAAAGGAAGAGGGGCACCTGGGTGGCTCAGTCGGTTAAGCGTCTGCCTTCGGCTCAGGTCATGATCTCAGGGTCCTGGGATCGAGCCCCATGTTGGGCTCCCTGCTCAGCGGGAGTCTCCTTCTCCCTCTGTTCCTCCCTCGCTCACGTTCTCTCTCTCAAATAAATAAATAAAAATCTTAAAAAACAACAACAACAAATACTTACTAATCGTCTATCCCATGCCAGATGCTGTGCTAGGACTTCCACATAAATCGTTTAGGCCAATCCTCACCACAAATCCAAGCTATGATGATCACTCCCACTTTACAAACCGGAACCGAGGCTCGGAGGGAGAAAGTCAGACCCCAGCATTTCCCTGAACCACGCCGCTACTGAGGCTCACACTGCGGGGCCCCTCACTTGGTTGAGATCTCGCAAGGCTCTGGGAACAACCCTCCCAATTTTGCCCACGTGACTCTGTACAAAGTTCAGTCCTCACGAAGTCCAGGCTGCTAGCATCACTCTCAAATAACTGAACTTTTGAGAGAATTGAAATCCCAACCTTCTGCTATGTTGTTGAACAAGTACCATGTTGCTTAAGCGATTACACACAGAGATATGTTTTCAGGGTCTGGTTTTTCATACGTGATATCCAAAATGCAGAAGGCTAAAGACATCACATCCGAAAACTAAAGAGACAATACCACCCTCCCACCCACTAACTCTAAGGGCCCCTCCAATTCACTAGCCATAAACTAGTGCTGGGCTGGCTTCCAAAAATGTAGGTTTCTTTAAGCCATCCCTCACCTCGGAATCCTTTGCTGACTCCTTGTTCACTGAGGCACTTCATGTCTTTTCACATTTGGCCTTTGCAGGTGCCGTTCCCTCTTCCAGAACAATCTCCTCGCCTCCTAGGTGAAGAGGCGAATTCCTATCCTTTCTGTGGTTTCCATCGTCATGGATCACCCCTTCCACGTGCTTAGCCTGAATGCCCTTCTCCCCAAGGTCAGCGAGGAAGCTCGTGACGGTGTTCCCCATGCCCCTGTCCCCGAATGCTTGTTCCTGTCCTTCTGTAGGGAAGTCTATTTATTCACGTGTCTGCATCCTTCAATGGACCGTGAACCTCTCAAAGGCAGAACCTGGGCCATGCTCATCGTTATAGACCCACTGTCTTCATGTCCCCCACATGGTAGGTCTTCACCAGAGGAATTCTGTTTGGATCTAAGAGTCAGAAGCTATTGGTGGAACACTTACCATTTCTTGTACCAGGCAATACACTAATTTATTTTCTTTATATATATTTTATATCTAATTTCTTCTCTAATCCTTGTATCAGTTCTAAAGGAAACCATAAATATCCCCATTTTAGAGGAGAAAACGAAAGGTCATAGAAGTTTAGAATGTGACCGGCCCAAGGGACACGGCTAGAAAAGGAAGAAAGGACTTTGAGTCTAAGTCCGGGCTTTGATTCACTACTAATGTTGTCTGAATGGTTCTCCTGAATTTCTCATTGGATTGCCAAGAACATTCACACTTGCAGAAGTGAGACTGGGCAGTCCAGAAAGCCAGGTACAAGGCCCACAGGCTGACCAGGGCCCTAGGAATTTCAAAGTGGACCATCAGTTTGATTTTGGAAACCTGCGTTAACAGTTGCACGGGGTGACAGCATGGTTGGACCAGCACGATTCTCAGACCATGGACGTGGGCCCACACCCACCTCTCCCATCTGCCGGGCTTCCTACCTGCTTCTCCTCTCAGTGCCTTCTCCAGCCTCACGCCTTGGATCTCCGAAGCCCTCTGGTGCTCCTCCACCTCCTCCAGCTGCCTCTGGATGGCCTGCAATGCGAGGATCGTGTGTCACGCGGGGACTCTTGAGGGGCAGAGTCACGTGAGAGGGCTGATTCTGCTACTTACTTTTTAAGAAGAAGAGGCCCTATCCCTTATGATGTCCCTCCTTGGGTGAGGACCTCTGAATTCCCAAACAACTAGATCTTGATGTCTCCCTTCTTTAGTGTGAAAACATAAAGCAAGGAGTCTGTCTATAAGCTCAATCTGCCCCCACATAGACATGAGGACAGTCGTCTTTGACCAGGCCAACCACACAGATGTGCCCTCAGGCAGAGGATGCTGGGCTAGGTGGGTGGTTCTCACGGCTCCCAGACTCTCCCGAGCCTTGGCCTCTGACTATGGTCATAGCATACGCAGAGCGGCAGCCTCTACTCAGAGTAGGATGAGGTTCTGGGGGCAAACACAGAGCACGGTCACATTCCATTTTGCCACGAAGAGCCAGCAGATACTTCCCGAGAAGTTGGTCTGGAGCAGGAGACCCCGGGCCAACTCCCAGGGCTGGGTGCGCCTTGCTCGGCGTGTCTAGCTCCCATCCTGAGCTATAGATTGCACCTCTTCTTTCCCTGTACCACAGGGCGAACACCCAGGGGCCTCTTAATATGCAAGTGTGCAGTGGCTCTGAGTAGTAGATTATGAAGACAAGACCCCGTGAGCGACAACCTCACACCCTCCCTAGACTCAGGATTGGCACCTATTCACATTTGAGTTTGCATTTACGCTCTTAGTTTTCCTACGGCTATTTCTCTCTTGTCTGTATAAGGAAGGAAAATGAGGGGAAAGCCTCTCCCCGCATACATTCTGTTCCCCAGCAGTTTCCTCTGCTTTCAAACAGCATGCTGCCAGAAGGCACATCTCTTGGCAGGATAGACATCGCACCTGGCTGAACCGGGACATGAAAGGAGCCGGCAGCTGTCTGGGCAGGTAGAATGTGTGTGTTCTTCCCCCTTTACCTCACTGCAGCTCTGTCTCACCCCCTCTCCTCCTTAACTCCACATCTTCTCCGTCTCCCCTGGATTCAGAGTACAATCACTGAAGTACCTCCAACCCTGTGAAGAGACGCGAGCTGGGGTTGGGCCTGAGCAGCCACCTGGCTCTCCTCGTCCCAGCTAAACATAAAACCCGTCCCAGGGTTTAATATACAATCTGAAATAGATGGCAATTCTATGTAACGCCACCATAATTTCATGCCCTCTCTCTCTTTTGAAGACAATTCTATTTTTATAAATCCATCTCTTGATGGCAGGATGTTGAATCACTCATGGAAGGGAAACATTTGAATGACTTTATGACCGACCGTCATGTATTTATGGCTCTATGGTTGTTATAGACTGAATCGTCCCCCCCACTGCCCCAAATTCATATAGTGAAGCCCTAACTCCAGTGTGACTGTATTTGGAGATAGGGCCTTTAAGGAAGTAATTAAGGTTAAATGAGATCATAAGGGTGGGCCCCCAATGCTGTGGGACTGGTGACCTGATGGGAAGAGAGACATCTCTCTCTCTCTCTCTCTCTCTGCCTGGGCACAGAAAGAAGGCAGTGTCTACAGGCCAGGAAGAGAGGCTTCACTAGACAGCAGTCCTGAAGGCACTTTGTTCTTGGGTTTCCAGCCTCCAGAACTAGGAGAAATACATCCCTGCTGTTTAAGCCACCTATTATGTGCTATGTTGTCGTGGCAGCCGAGCAAACAAATACAGTGGTCAGTCTTCGGAAACCAAGGATGAAAATCTTGAAGACTAGAAGGGGCTAGCAGATGAGGCTTCCAAAGGCTATCATGGTCTTTATCACCACCTGCAGTCTGGAGGGAGCATGTAAGGAGGGGGGCTGTCAGTCTGCCAATCCATATCCCTTTAGGGGCCTCGTTCCATATCCCTTTAGGGGCCTCGTTCTCACAAGGCCAAGTTACAATGTTTCAAGGAAATCTGTTTCAGAAGTTGAGAGGGGACAGAGGGACTTTGTGGGGATTTTCCCTGTCTGCTAGGTGAAAGGGGTGACTCCCTGTCAGTCACTATGAAGGGTAAAGGAGTTTGGGTTAAGTGGCTTCCTTCCTCAACAAGACTACATGGCCAGATAAAGGGGGTAACTGCAGAAAGGAATAGAAGGGAACATTGCATGAATATGAGTGGTCACTCTAAGTCCTTCTGTCCTAAAACCTCGCTATTCTTCAAGGCTAAGTCTGGGGTCCTCAGGGACGTGGAAAATGCCTTGACGTTCTGCTTCCTTTGCCTGTCTGCGACAGATGTGGGCAGACCCACTTGGGCAGAAATGTTAGAGCTAACAATCAAGACAGGGAATCTATATTGAAATACTAGATGCTTATGTTTTTGACGAACCTTGGAATAGAGACAGCTCCTGATAGTTGTCAGTTCAGCAGGGACACTGGCAAGAAGTCAGGGGAAAGTTGTATCCTCACAGAGGACAAGACTAAGTCCACTGCTATGTGGCAGTCAGGGCTTGGGATGGTTTCCATGGCCATGTGTTGGCTGTCATTCCAGGCTCACTTTGCAGGATACACGTTTGCAGAGGGAAAGGCAGTTGGGAGTGGGCCAGCTCAGCACCTGGGCTCCTCAGGCCCCTGAGTCCCACCAGGGATTGAGTCAGTGCTTTAGAATGGCCACAGATCTGGTCATTCAGAGAAGAGAGACTGACCTTTCCCCCAGCCCGCCTCCCCCAATACAATAGAGACTTCCACAGGGTTTTCCAATCCAATTTCCAGGTCCCAGGCCCCAGGTTCACTCATTCAAGTCAAGTTTGTTTTCTGACCTGAGCTTTATGAAGTCTTTTCAATTCTTCTTGCTTAACCAATTGTTTTGTGGCTTTCTCCAGCTTCCTTCTTCTGAGTGTCTTCCTCTCCTACAAAAACCAAAAGAGAAGAAAAAATGTATCTGAGAGAAATGGGGTTAAAATCTGCAAAATAATGACAAAGGCTTCTAGTTGCTCCAAGCAAACCATTGCTTAGCTTCTAGAACACTGATGTCCAATAGAACTTCCAGCGATGATGGAAATGTTCTATATCTGTGCTAAAATATGCAAGCCACTAGCCACCTGTGGCTATCGGACACTTGAAATGAGCTAGCATGAATAAGAAACTGATTTCCCTGGGCTTGTAAAATCCAGAACACTCAAAATCGATGCACTAAAATCTTGATGCTGTCACTTCCAGGTTTGAAACACCAGAGAAAGGAGCAGTTACGGTGTGGCCAGATTCCCATAATTGTAAGCAGAGGAGACACTTCTGGTTGCAGAGAGAGCAGAGAATACTGGTGGAGCACTGGGCCCGGGCGCCTTGCAAAGCTGGCATCAAATTCCAGCTGAGCTGTGTGAGTTTCAGCCTGCCACACAACTTCCTGAACTTCAGAGCTATGAAAATGATTGAGTGCCTACCTTGTAGGGATGTTATAAGAATTAACTGAGAGAATGTGGGTCATGCCCTTCCTAGAATACTTGAAAAAGATATGGGATAAATACATAAATACCATGATTTTTATTATTAGTGGCATGATTATTAGATTATCATATTATAAATCAGCATGATTATAATTTACGAAAATCAATTATTTTTTCTATGTTTACAGAGTAAAAGTTCAAATTGAGCTAGTTTTACTATGAGTTTGTCTTCTTGGAGCATACTCATCCACTTTCTACATATTAGGATAAAGATTAGAGCATGCTAGAGATTTCTTTCTAATGCTGGCAGAGACAAATATGGAATTAAAAATTTGTTACAGCTAGCCTGGTGCCTGGGCAGTCAGTATCTGTGGTTGAACTGGGTGTTTGCCCATTAAAGAGAGTATAAATCCACAAGGGAAGAATGGACCTAATAGGCGTACCCCAGATACTGCCAAAGGAATCCAGGTCCATGATGGAGGTCAGAGATTATGCCTGAAAAGCGCCTACATTTGCAGGGCCTCGTGGATCCTGGTCATTCAGTCACCCATTCCATGGATAGGTATGGGGAGACCATCATGCTCCTCAGCAAAGCAGCCAGCTTGGAGGCCTCAGAGTGTCTACAGATTGTCAGTGAAAACATTGATCTTGATGAAATTTCATTTTTTTAGAATTCTCCTTAGGATCTAGAATTGTAAAGATCTTTTTCATCCTTGGAAGGAAATTCTAGCTCTCAGAACTGAAACTTATTCCGTATCATATCATCTCTATTTCTAGGAGATAACTTCCAGATTGACTGTCAACCACTCTGAACAGAGGGTCTAGCCCATTTGGCGGGGGGTGGGGGTGGGGGGATGGAACCCCACCATTAGGCAGTCTGAATCTTTCTGGAAATGTTAGGGCAGAGGGGCATGGTGGAGATCACTTGTAGTTGTTGCCCAGAGACTGTCTAACTCAATCTATACACAGACTCACAAATATCTCTTGAGCTTCCATTATGTTAATTTATATAATAAATCCCAGCACATCTGAGCGCTATGTGGCAGATATTACACTGATTACTTCACATGTATCAGCTCATTTATTCCTCAAATTACACTTACATTATGGATATAAGGCAATGAAATCTTGGACCAAAATAACTTGCCCAAGATGGCCCAATTAGTCACTGGTAGAGCCAGGAGTTAAGGTCAGGTAGCCTGAATCCAGCATTCACATTTTCAGCTGGTCTACACGGCCTTTCCTATGCCAAATACTGCACAGGCACATCAAGGACCCCTGCCTTATAGAAATGTCAAGGTTTCCTCCTAAATTAAGACCATTTAATATAATTTCAAGGGGAGGGGTGTGTCTTGACAGCATCACACCATCTCAATACCTGTAAGCAGCAGGGCTGCCAAACCCTTCCTGTTTTATCAAGAGTCAGCAAACCAGAACCTGGAGGAGGAAAGAAAGTCACTATTGCCTTTTATCGGAAGATGTTGACACAGAAAAGAAGGCCGATTTGTTCATAAATGTTCATCCAGTCTTATGATGAGCCGGGCTCGGTCCTTATAGCCTCAATGGTGGCAAAACCAGCACAGAGAGGCAAGGACAGAGGCTCGGGGCGAGGAAGGGAAAGACGAAGGACAGAGAAAGGGAGAGGTCTGGCAGGACCCTGGATGAGTGCCTGCCCCAGTCTCCCAGGTCCAGGCCTGGCTTTGGGAGGGGAGGGTTGGGGAGGGCCCAAGTCCAGGGGAGGGGTGGAGTGTTCACATCCTGTCTCGGGTTTCCTGCGCAAAGGTTCAGTTGAGCTGAGTGGGCTCTGTGCCAAGGGGCTGGGGACACACCTGTATGGGACAGAAGAGATAAAGAAACCAGAGGGGGGAAAAGACCCTTGTTCCTTCAGGGTGGGCCCTTGGGAAGTAGTAAAGAAAGAACTTTTGGCCAGCTTCCCTTCCTGTAAGAGTGGTCAGAGGCCAGGTGAAGCAGGCAAGCTTTTCCACACCGCAAGCTTAAGTGCTGACAGGCTCTGTTCTGGGCCGGCAGGAGGACAAGGAGCTACTTGCAAGACTTGCCCTAGATCTCATGGTCTTGCTATTTGATGTGTTTGGGCTATTCCATTCTCTTATTCTCCGTGAGTGTTGGAATGGCTGTTAGAACGGCTGATGAATGTCTGTATTCATTTGAATACAGACTTAACTCAAGGTCACTTAAGGGGATGAGAGGGACAGGAACAAAACCCCAGGAATCAACATAACACATAACAAATTCAACATCAACATAACAAATTCATTTGTGTTGAGTACTGAACTAATCAGAGATGCCCACAGTTAGAAATGAGAAACGCATACATATTCTCTTTCATTTGCATTCCCTCCCTCTCTCCCTGTCTCTCCCTCTCCCCTACCACACACACACACACTCACACACACACTCTCATGCTATGTCCCAGCCCCCTCCTGACTTGCCCTAAGCTGGGCCATGGGGAGCTAGAACCCCCGAGTGACTTGAGATGACACCAAAGTTCCTAATGGCAGATACGGAAAAGTTGAGTCTAAGTAAATAAATTTGGTTCTCTCCCTTTCTCCTCAGATCCTCACTGCTCCAAAAAATAAACACTGTTAGCACAGTGAACTGCTTGTCTGTTCTCCTGCGGGAAGCATTTTAGGTCCAACCATTCATCCCTCAGTCCCAGTGAAAATGCTCCAGCCCCAGTAGATCAAGAAAACAACAGTGAGGTTTGGTCGTGGGATGTGTCTTCATGTATGTGACACACAGATGCATTTAAAGACGTACACCAATGTTTGCATTTTTAAAATCTATGGGTATGGGAGTTGTTTGAAGTGTTTTCCAGAAATACGTTCACGAAGCAAAGAGAACGGCCATCTCCCTAGCCAGCACACAGCTAGTCCCTTCCACAGCAGGGACTCTTGGAGTATCCATGTCTAGATGCAACTGCATGGTTCATTTCATATTTCTGATTAGAATAAACATAACATTTTCCATGCAATCTGCCTCTAGTGCTTCTTAAATGAAGCTGTGTTTCCCCCAGGGAAATATGCATCTGCTTATTGTAATTTTTTCGATGGCTTGCTTGTTGGACCACATATTAAACCCACTTTAAGAGCTGCAGTCACCAAATGATTTTAAGTAAATATGTCTGTTTTGGGTTTTTTTTTTTCTGCCAGTTGGAGTCTCTGAGAAAGGCAAGCTTCTAAAAGTTAGAAAAAAACAGATCATTCGGGGTGTTCCAGGTAAAAAAAAGTGGTTGCTGTCAGATGCAATGAAACATGCTCCTCCTAACGAAAAACCACTGCCACTGGAGTCCACATTGGGTCTGAAACCTGGATGGTAAATGGCCCCTGCAAGCAAGGCCCTCTTTGGTTGGCCAAGTGTTGTTACCTTTGACCGCAAGGAAGGCTGGGGATGAAAGTCTTCATCTGCAGAGGAGGGGCTGGTGGAGGAGGTAGAAGAGGCGGTCCCTGGCACTTGCACTTGGATAGGGATGTGTTTGGGACCTGAAATGGGAACAGAAGAACTCACTGAAATCCCAGCTTCTTTTCCTGCCTCACGACCCAAAGCTGCCTCTCCCTCCGCCCTTCTTACCGCATTCCCTTCCTCCCTGCCCTTCCCTCGCTGCACCTGCCATGAGCAGAAGGAGACAGAACCTAAGGGCAACTGAAAATTTGGCCCTCCACGTTAATTACATTTCTGGGTCCCTGCCAAGGGCTTTGCAGCTCTCCTTTCATATTTTTTAAAAAAAAAGGCATTATGCAGAAATCAATTAATTCCTTACACACCATTTATATGGTGTGTTGCTTAGAACGCATTCAGAGATGAAATCTGTTATTAAAATGCTTGTCTGAAGTTAGCTGAGTTACCTAAATGCTCGTGTAAGGTTCGTTTTGCAGAGTAATTGAATGCAAGAAAGTCAGAGCCAGCTTTTAAACAAATCGCCCTTCTGTGGCTCACAGCATCTGGCACCCATTTTTACTACATGACATCTGCTCAGTATAAAAGAGCTGGCGTCAGAATGTCTGGTCATAGAAAAAAAAAATCCCAAATGTAATCAGAAGCAAAAGGACTCTAAGCCTAAGGTTTTATCACATAGTCTCATGCAACATAAATATTTCATTAATTATGGCTAAACAAATGCCACTTTTATTTTCCCAACTTGCAGATATTATCACATCATCGAAGTGATGATTCAAATGCCAGGAAAGGCAGTTGAAGATAGGGAGGGCTCAACAATGCAGGGCCCAGGGGAGAGCTGAAGTCCAGGAGATCTGCCAACCTCTGAACAAGAGGTAGATGGTTAGAGGCGGCCAAGGGCCCGTGTTCACTAGAATCTCTTTGTGATCTAGCTGGGGACCGTGTGGGGTAAAGTCCTCCAGGTGCCACAGGAGGCTTTTATTCTTCTCAGCAAGAACATCTGCCCCTGCACATCATCCTGATGCAGAGTTAATGAGTAATGTCTGGATGAACCCATGCTGGATGCTGACTATCACAACCCGTGAGGACTCCATGAGAGGAAATGTACGAATCGTTGCTCAGCCATGGCAGCCTATATCCGAAGAGAAATATGTGTTGGGTGGGGAGGGGGACGGAGAAGCAATTCCATGTGACTCACATTCCCTCCAGCCTGCCTTTTCCTCCCCGTAATTTCCAACGATTTACCCCAGTGGGAGAGGCCAAGTTTTAGAAAATAAGGGTAATTTCAACCTCCGGGAGCACATTTACATATGCTGTTATTCAAAGCAAAATAATGCGGAACATCTATATAATAGCACAGCCTCCCTGGGGGAGGAGTTAACTGTTTTCCACTACAATTTGCCAGATGGGGAAGCTCAGGTGAAGAGAGCATCAGAGGGCAGCATAGTAATGGAAGGAGGCACCATTGGTGGTGAGCTCAGATTGTCCTCCAACTCCGGCTACTAGGTTACTACGGAGGAATGTAGTCATGGAGTGTTCACTTCTTAGTGTGCGAGCCTGAGGAACTAACTTCACCTCCCTGAGTTTCTGGAGCTCACAACTTCTAACTTGCAGCACTGTAGTAGAAGAGTAAAGGTAATCGATGGAAGGAGCCTGACATGGTGCCTGGTTCATTGGAGATGCCTAAATAAATCTCATTGTCATCAGCAGCAGCAGCAACTGCCTCATTGTTATCATTGATCCAAATCAACAATACCGCAATATTAACAACACTGCCTAATTAACCTTCATTGTACAGAAGTAGAATAACCTAAAGTAGAAACTTCCAAAAATGAATATAGTAGTTCCACTGCATCTTATTTTGAAACCGAGAAGAAAATATTTCCGAATTTAATGCATTTCTTAAACTTCTGGCAAGCGTTATATATAGTTACCTCTGAATCTCTTCCCCTTTACTCTCTTCCACCACAGAACCACCGATTCCAGAAATTTACTTTTCAATTGCAAAGTTAAAAAAAACTTGGCAGCATTGTTCCACTCTGGCTATAATGGAGTGACTGATTCTGGGATTGATATCCCATCGCAAAGCACTAGAAGTCAGGACAAAATCTACGAAGCAGCTGTTTCCAGACATTGGACAACAGGCAGTGCAGAACTGTGATAAACATAAGAACAGAAGCAAATGAAGCCCTACAATCACACTAGCTTCCTCCCTAGAGGCACTTTCCAGGCCACAGTGCAGGTAGGAAGAACCTAAACAATATAGCAGGTTCGTTGAGTTGAAAAGACAGGGATCAGAGTTTGAGTGAGTGGAGGCAGCTGGAATGTGTCAGGGTGGGGGTAGAGGAGAGAGCTATGCAGAAAAAGCACGTCAGGAATAAGCACAGAAGTCCCCTTGAGTCTATTGCTTAATAGTAAACTTTAGATGCATAGAGAGAAATTGCATGAGGTTGGGCCAGTGACTGTTGGAAAATTATAGGCTAAATAGCCTCTAAAGCTTTTTACAGGATTGGGAAATACTCAAGTTCCACCCAGCTAGGGTAGAACAAACTTTGGGGGCATTAGAATAGAGGCCACAGAAGAGTCATACTTTAGTAATAGGGATAAATGAGCCCTAGGGTAAAGGTTATTATAAACTGTCCCAAATAAGCTTAAAAACAACCTTGAAAGAAACAAATTCATCTTCAAATTACACTACTGTCTGCCAAACATTTTTACTGTTTATACAACATTCTTTAAATGAAGAAACAAAGTCTAGACACCCTACAATGTAATCGTCACCAAACCTAGCAGCCAGAAAGCAATTACTAGATTGCAAAAGAGCAGGACAACAAGCTCATCATCAAGAGAAAAATCAGTTAATAAAAGCAGGCTTGGGGCGCCTGGGTGGCTCAGTTGGTTAAGTGACTGCCTTTGGCTCAGGTCATGATCCTGGAGTCCCAGGATCGAGTCCCGCATTGGGCTCCCTGCTCAGCAGGGAGCCTCCTTCTCCCTCTGACCCTCCTCCCTCTCATGCTCTCTCTCTATCATTCTCTCTCTCTCTCAATAATAAATAAATAAAAATCTTTAAAAAAAAATAAAATAAATAAAAGCAGGCTCAAAGATAATGGGATTAGCAGACAAAGATTTAAAAATAACTATTATAAATATGCTCAGGAATTTAAAAAGATGCATGAACAGAATGAGGAGGTAAAAAATATAGAAGAAGAACCAAATGGAACCTATAAATATGGAAAATACAAAATCTGAAATGAATATTTCACTGGATCAGCTTAATAGTAGATTAAACATTGCAGAGGAAAATAGTCTGTGTAATTAAGTAACAACAATAGAGATTACCCAAAATGAAACACGGAGGGAAAAAAAGACTGAAAAACTGAATAGAACTTCAGTGATCTGTGAGATAATATGAGGTGGTCTAAAATAAATACGTATGATTGGCGTGCCGGAAGGAGATGGTGGGAGATAGAAAAAGTCATTTATGTAATATTGTTGAAAATCACACAAATTTAATGAAAATTGTAAATTCCAAGAAGTTCAATAAGCCAGAAGCAGGGTAAACATAAAGAAAATCATAGCAAGGCTCACGATAATAAATTTGCTGAAAACCAGAGATAGAGATAAAATCTTAAAAGCAGACGAAGAAAAATGATATATTACATACAGAGAAACAAAGATAAGAATGTCCATGGACAACTCATCAGAACCTAAATAAGCCAAGAGATAATGAAACATCATTAAAATGCTGGAAGAAAAGTCTGTCAGTTGATCATTCTATACCCAGTGAAATGATCCATTCAAAATGAAGAAAAAATAAAGGCTTTAGGATAATTTGTTGTTAGCAGACATACATAAGAAAAATGTCAAAAGAAGTTCTGTAGCAGAAGGAATATAACACATGGAGTGAAGAGCTCCAGAAATAGTAAATATAAAATAATTTCCCTTTTGGTTTTTAACTTCTTTAAAAGATAGCCAACTATTTAATGCAGGATAGTGTGAAATAATAAGAAATATATAATTTGGTCTCTGTCCCACATTCCCACCAATATTTGGTCTTTGACTCCAGTTCCTGACACAGAGCTCCTGAAATGCTTGTCATTCTGAGTGAAGAGTTCCCAAGTCCCTTGAAACTTCCCATGATAGGAGCACCTTTTGTTCTAATGAAGTGACTCTTGGTGAGTTCCTGGAAGATGGCTGGTCATTAGAGAGACCAAGCTGTGACTAGAAAATCTCAAAATCATTAGAAATTAAGCAATACTTTTCTGAGAACGAATGGATCAAGGACAAAATAAAAGTAAATTGAAGCTGATGGGATAAGAATATGGCATAACAGGGGTGCCTGGGTGGCTCAGTCGTTAAGCATCTGCCTTCGGCTCAGTCATGATCCCAGGGTCCTGGGATCGAGCCCTGCATCAGGCTCCCTGCTCAGCAGGAAGCCTGCTTCTCCCTTTCCCACTCCCCCTGCTTGTGTTCCCTCTCTTACTGTCTCTCTCTGTGTCAAATAAATAAATAAAATCTTAAAAAAAAGAATATGGCATAACAACATAACTAGGATGTAGCTAAAGTAGTGATTTGAGGGAAATTTAGAGCTTTCAGTGTACACACTGTGCAAAAGAAAAGCTGAGAATTAATGCTGTAAGATCTATTTCAAGAAGCTAGAAAAAGAACCAACAACTGAACCTAAAGAAACTAAAAGGAAGAAAATAATCAAGATAAGAACAGAGTATGAGAGAAAATAAAAACAAAGCAGAAATAAAATCAAAAATTAACAAAGCAAAAATTTGGTTCTTCAAAAAGATATAACATTGATGACTTCTAAAAAGAGAAAGAAAACACAAATTACCAACATTGAGGATGAAAAGTCCTCCAGAGTATTCAAGGAAGCTATTATACAATCTTATGACAATATATATGAAAATTTGGATAAAATGCACAAATTCTTTGAAAAACATGACTTACCAGAACTGACATAAGAAGAAATAGAAAATCTTAATACTTACATATCTATTAAAGAAACTGAATCCACATTAAAAACCACCCTACAAAGAAAATACTAGGCTAGATG